GCACTGAAATTGAAGCTGTGATCAAAAATCTCCCAAAAAACAAAAGCCCAGGACCAGATGGCTTCACAGGAGAAGTTTTAGAAGCCATCCTTCTAAAACTCTTTCAAAAAATTGCAGAGGAAGGAACACTTCCAAACTCATTCCATGGGGCCACCCTGATGCCAAAACCAGACAAAGACAACACAAAAAAAGAAAACTACAGGCCAATATCACTGATGAACATAGATGCAAAAATTCTTAACAAAATTTTAGCAAACAGAATTCAGCAACACATCAAAAAGCTCATACACTGTGATCAAGTTGGGTTTATTCCAGGATGCAAGGATTCTTTAATATATGCAAATAAATCAATAGGATATACCATATTAACAAACTGAAAAATAAAAACCATATGACAATCTCAATAGATGCAGAAAAAGCCTTTAACAAAATTCAGCACCTATTTATGATTAAAATTCTTCAAAAAAATGGGCATAGAAGGACCCTACCTCAACACAGTAAAGGCCATATATGATAAGCCTACAGCAAACATTATTCTCAATGGTGAAAAATTGAAAGCATTTCCCCTAAGATCAGGAAAAAGACAAGGGTGTCCACTTTCACCACTATTATTCAACATAGTTCTGGAAGTCCTAGCTATAGCAAGCAGAGAAGAAAAAGAAATAAAAGGAATCCAGATCAGAAAAGAAGAAATAAATCTCTCACTGTTTGCAGATGACATGATACAACCCTAAAGATAGTATCAGAAAATTACTAGAACTAATCAATGAATTTAGCAAAGTTGCAGGATACAAAATCAATACCAGAAATCACTTGCATTTCTATATACTTACAGTAAAAAATCAGAAAGAGAAATTAAGGAATCAATCCCATTCACCATTGCAACAAAAAGAAATATCTAGGAATAAACTTACCTAAAGAGACAAAAGAACTATACACAGAAAATTATAAGACACTAATGAAAGAAATCAAAGATGACATAAACAGATGGAGAGATATTCTGCGTTCCTGGGTAGGAAGAATCAATATTGTGAAAATGACTATACTATCAAATGCAATCTACAAATTCAATGTGATCCCTATCAAATTACCAGTGGCATTTTTCACAGAACTAGAACAAAAAATTTCACAATTAATATGGAAACACAAAAGACCCCGAATAGCCAAAGCAGTCTTGAGAAAGAAGAATGGAGCTGAAGGAATCAACCTTCCTGACTTCAGGTTATACTACAAAGCTACAGTCATCAAGACAGTATGGTACTGGCACAAAAACAGAAACATAGACCAATGGAACAAGATAGAATGCCCACAGATAAACCCACACACCTATGCATATCTTATTTTTGACAAAGGAGGCAAGAATATACAATGGGGCAAAGACAACCTCTTCAATAAATGGTGCTGGGAAAACTGGACAGCTACATGTAAAAGAATGAAATTATAACACTTCCCAATATCATATACAAAGATAAACTCAAAATGGATTAAAGGCCTAAATGTAAGGCCAAAAACTATAAAACTCTAAGAGGAAAACATAGGCAGAACATTTGATACCATAAATCAAAGCAAGATCCTCTATGACCCACCTCCTAGAGTAATGGAAATAAAAACAAAAGTAAACAGGTGGGACCTGATTAAACTTAAAATATTTTGCACAGCAAAGGAAACTATAAGCAAGGTGGAAAGAGAACCCTCAGAATGGGAAAAAATAATAGCAAGAGAAACAACTGACAAAGGATTAATTTCCAAAATATACAAGCAGCTCATATAACGCAATGCCAGGAAAACAAACAACCCAATCAAAAAGTGGGGAAAAGACCTAAACAGACATTTCTCCAAAGAAGACATACAGATGGCTAACAAACACATGAGAAATGCAGATCAAAACCACAATGAGATATCACCTCACACCCATCAGAATGGCCATCATCAAAAAATCTACAAACAATAAATGCTAGAGAGGGTGTGGAGAAAAGGGAATGCTCTTGCACTGTTGATGGGACTGTAAATTGATACAGCCACTATGAGAGACAGTATGGAGATTCCTTAAAAAACTAGGAATAAAACCACCATATGACCCAGCAATCCCACTCCTAGGCATATACCCTGAGGAAACCAAAATTGGAAAAGACACATGTATCCCATTGTTCATTGCAGCACTATTTACAACAGCTAGAACATGGAAGCAACCTAGGTGTTCATCTACATGTGAATGGATAAAGATGTGGTGGTACATATACACAAAGGAATATTACTCAGCCACAAAAAGGAACACCTTTGAGTCAATTCTGATGAGGTTGATGAACCTAGAACCTATTATACAGAGTGAAGTGAGTCAGAAAGAGAAAGATAAATATTGTATTCTAACACATATATATGGAATCTAGAAAAATGGTACTGAAGAATTTATTTACAGGACAGCAGTGGAGAAACCGACCTAGAGAATAGACTTATGGACATGAGGAGAGGGTGAGATGTGTGGAAAGAGTAACATGGAAACTTACATCACCATGCGTAAAATTGATAACCAATGGGAATTTGCCGTATGGCTCAGGAAATTCAAACAGGGGTTCTGCATCAACCTAGAGGGGTAGGATGGTGAGGCAGATGGGAGGGAGGTTCAAAAGGGAGGGGGTATATGTATACCTGTGGCTGATTCATGTAGAGGTTTGACCAGTGAGCCAGAGAAGTTGCTCAGTCTTGCCCAACTCTTTGCGACCTCACGGACTGTAGCCTACCAGGCTCATCCATCCATGGAATTTTCCAGGCAAGAGCACTGGAGTGGGTTGCCATTTCCTTCTCCAGGGGATCTTCCCAACCCAGAGATTGAACTCAGGTCTCCCGCATTACAAGCAGATAGATGCCTTACCATCTGAACCACCAGGGAAGCCCAGAAAACAACAAAATTCTGTAAAGCAAGTATCCTTCAGTAAAAAAAAAAAAAATTTAAATCAACTTTTTTCTGTTCTCGTCTTTTTCTTCAGTCATCCCTAGTTGCCTTTAATAAAAGATTCTGGAACTTCACCATCTCCACTGCTGCTGGTTCAAAACCTGACAGAAGGAGCACCGGCCATCTCACTGGCCAGTATTCTCCCAACTTGGCCTGAATTTTCCCCATGAAATAGGTTCTCAGGAGAGCTCCAAGTTGTTCTCATTATCATTTTTTAAACTTCCAAAGCAGATTTGTTGAGAATCATACATTTGACCCTTTGTGAAGTTATTTTTTTAAAGAAATGTCACCTTTTCTATCTCCCTCCTTATTTGATAGGTCATCACACTGGGAAATGCTTTCTTAATAGAAAAGACCTTGCAATGGGAGGCACTGTGTTGTGTTTGGACCCCTTTAACTACAACTATTTTTTGGACCAAGCAAACAACTATTATTTATTTCTTCCTTAATTAAAGGAACTGACCAAGCTTTTTATCTTGCAAATATAGAGGGAGGGCCATTTAGTTGGGATAAGCAGCACGGAGAACTAATTTTGTTTTATGACTGGAGCAACTATGAGAGGGTTGGGAAATGACCAGCAGAAGGTCATGGCACTGGCTAGTATTTCTAGTGTCTACATTTAGGGCTGTTTAATTGAATGTCTTTTACTGGCTGCCTGTGTCTGAATTTACTCCTAGCACAGCTGATGGTTCCTGAGATCTCAGAAGTCACACTACGGTGTTTCCACCTGAGAACTTGGGTTGGCTGGGAACCCTGAGGCAATGACTGAGACTGCCCACTGCCTCATTTGAAGGTAAAGTTTAGAAAACTGCCTTGTATATTGCTGTTTTCTAAATGAGATGTACATTTTAATGACTCTTAGGACAATATTCTCATAAGCACCTGGTTTTTAAAATCACAAAAAGATATTTTTATCTTGAAAACAGTTTTCTCTGAAAGCTTTTTAAAAAGCTGCTCAGTCCTAGCACTTAACGTCTAAGAAACAAAATTTTCATTCCTAAAACTCTTTTTCCCCAATACTTCCTTCCTTCCTTCCATAACACTGTGAGAATTCAAAAGGGAGCCTTGCTTTTATTCGGAAAAGAAGGTCAGTTTCTTTTAAAGAGCATAAAAGAGACTAGTTAAAACTTATATATATATATAAAGCACTTTTTAAACTTATTCTTATGGGAAGCTCGACTTCCCAATTTTAGTCTCAGTACTTGTTAGGTAAGGATCCAGTGAATTTCGAAGACTCCTGGTTATGGAAAGAAGGCCTAGGCATCTTCAACATTTTTTTTTTCTGAGTAATTAACATGCTGAAACAAACAAATGAACATGCATACTGAAAAAGATGTAATTCTCAAGGGCACTTGCTCCTTGGAGAAAAGCTATGACCAACCTAGACAGCATATTAAAAAGCAGAGACATTACTTTTCCAACAAAGGCCTGTCTAGTCAAAGCTGTGGTTTTTCCAGTAGTCATGTATGGATGTGAGAGGTGGACTATGAAGAAAGCAGAGCGCTGAAGAATTGATGCTTTTGAACTGTGGTGTTGGAGAAGACTCTTGAGAGTCCCTTGGACTGCAAGGAGATCCAACCAGTCCATCCTAAAGGAAACCAGTCCTGAATATTCATTGGAAGGACTGAGAAACTCCAATACTTTGGCCACCTGATGCGAAGAACTGACTCACTGGAAAAGACCCTGGTGCTGGGAAAGATTGAAGGCAGGAGGAGAAGGGGATGATAGGGGATGAGATGGTTGGATGGCATCACCGACTGGATGGACATGAGTTTGAGTAAGCTCCGGGAGTTGGTGATGGACAGGGAAGTCTGGCGTGCTGCAGTCCATGGGGTCACAAAGATTTGGACACGACTGAGCGACTGAACTGAACTGAGAAAGAAACGCAAGTGACTATCCAAACTACAGGATTTTATCAGTAGTGAGAACCAGGCATGGTTTCTTCACAGGTTAAATCTAGTCCTAGAAGCGGTGTGTTGGAGCATGGTTGCACATGTAATTTTGCGGTCGTCTTAATCCTGTCTCCTTCGGTGCAGGCGCTGCCTAAAGAATGAGGAGCGAAGAGCCGGCCGTGAGCATGGAAGAGACCGGCGGGCCGGACGCGGCTGCGGGCCGCCTGGGGGCGCCGTACTCCGAGGCCTGGGGGTACTTCCACCTGGCTCCCGCGCGCCCCGGCCACGCGGCGGGCCCCTGGGCCACCTGCCGGCTCTGCGGGGAGCAAGTGGGCCGCGGTCCGGGCTGGCACGCGAGCACCCCGGCGCTGTGGAAGCATCTGAGGAGCGCGCACCGGCGGGAGCTGGCGGAGAGCGCCGCCCGCCGCTCGCCACCCGCCGCCCCTGGCCCCGTCGCGGCCGCCGAAGGCGACTGGGCGCGCCTGCTCGAGCAGATGGGCGCGCTGGCCGTGCGGGGCAGCCTGCGCGAGCGGGAGCTGGCGCGGCGCGAGGCGGCCGTGGAGCAGAGCGAGCGCGCCCTGGAGCGCAGGCGGCGGGCGCTGCAGGAGGAGGAGCGCGCGGCGGCCCAGGCGCGCCGGGAGCTGCAGGCCGAGAGGGAGGCGCTGCAGGCGCGGCAGCGGGAAGTGAGCCGGCGCGAGGGCGCCTTGGCCCCGGCCCCCCCGCTCAAAGACGAGCCCGAGGCGGACCCCAGGGACGGCTGCGTCATCACGAAGGTCCTCCTGTAGATTTTGGCCGCTCCCACCCCCCAACTCCACCAGCGGTATTCCTCGTGTGGCCCGCGGAGCGGCGTCTTCAGCCTCACCTGGGAGCGGGATCCCTTGACCCCTCTGCCGAATTGAAATCGCCAAATGCAGGCTCTTGAGAAGCAGAACGAGAACATGCTCGTGGTCCTTCCCGGCGGCCTCCTCTGCTGGTGGCATGTCGTGGGATCCGCTCAAGCGGCGGTTTTCTTCTGACCGCCTTTGGAAAAGAGTCCACCGGCCCCATGAACCTAGAGCACTTGGAGCCATGGCCGTTCTGTGGCTGGTAACTTTGAAAGGACCGAAACTTCCTTACACACCAAGGACTGTCGCATGTGCCCGCAACCCAGGGTAGAGTGTGCATTGAAACGAGGATCAGGCATTTTTACCCCCAAAAGTTTTCCCTACTTCCTAAGGAGTAAGTCTTTGATGAGTATCCCCTGCCCAGCACCAAGTTCTGAACGGGAGGCCGTTTAGTTTCCAGAACTGCTCATCACCCTATCATTCCTAGTGCCTTAGGGAGGCAGTCCTGGAGAAGCCCTCTTTTTGCTCCCCTCCCCAGCTGGCCCCCCAGCACCAAGCGCTTTGTCTCAGCTCCACCATCTTCCTTCCCCTGTTGGAGGCCTGACGGCAGCTGTGGCACGTTTCCCCACTTTACTGCCTCTCACCTGCCACCTTACTAGCAAGACCTGACCTCAGCGCTCCTTGACAGGAAGCCCCCCCCCCCCCGCCCCGTCTCCTCAGTCCTCACGCCTGGGCCAAGGGGAAGGCACCCCCATCTGAGGCCACCTCCTTCACCTTTACTGGGCCTTTTGTTGTTGCCGTGCTAAGTCATGTCCAATTCTTTTTCGATCCCATGGACTGTAGTCCCCCAGCCTCCTTCCCGGGCAGTCATCCGGAGTGGGTTGCCATTTTCTACTCCAGGGATCTTCCCCATTCAGGGATCAAACCCATGGCTCCTGCGTTGCAGGCGGATTCTTTACCACTGAGCCGCCTGGGAAGCCCCGTGGATGTCTTATAGAATGTCCGATATTCTGGATTTGCCTGATTGTTTCCTTAGGCCAAATTATGCACTCCTCCTTGGCCCATCTGCCCGGAGAGCTGCAACAGCCACCTCCGTGCCAGAAAGTCCTGACGCCGCCAGCATTGTGTGCTCCCCAGGCCTGTCCTTCGTGTTCCGGCCCCTGCAGCCTATCTCCACCTCTGCTGGTACCTCCGCCGCCGGGGATGCAAGGGGTGAATGTATGCAACTCCACATCCCCACCCCTGACCCAATGACTGGGAGCTACTGGGCTCTTCAAATGTGTCAGGTTCACTTACATGTATTATCTCACTTTATTTCCACAGCAGCTCCCTGGGGAGGGTGGCATATTGATACCAACACTCCGCGCATTTTACAGCTACTGAAACAGAGCAGGGTTAAGTGGCTTGGACCGGATGACAGCTGGTAAGCAGTCGTCTCAGCAGTCCAGTCCAGTCTCTACCTCCAGACGCCACGTTCCCGGCTGCTGTACGGTTGCCCTGGTTACTCACTCATCCCAGCTGACACCTGTTTGCGTCCTGATTCCAGCTCCAGGCCGCACCGTCAGTGATGCTGACACGTGCTGAGCACTCACCGTGCCGGAGGCGCGCAAACACACCGTACAAGAGTAACTGCCTACCGTGCAGCGACCCCGTGGCATCACTGCTCCTACACCCACAGGCTCAGAGGAAGTAAGGGATGTCAAGGAAGAGTGGGATTTGAGCACCAGTCTCGCTGAATCCTAGGCCCCTGATCCATTGAGTCTTATTTCTAGTGGCTCAGCCGGTAATGAAGAAGACCCGGGTTCGATCCCTGGGTCAGGAAGATCCCCTGGAGAAAGGAATGGCAACCCACTCCAGTATTCTTGCCTGGAGAATTCCATGGGCAGAGGACCCTGGTGGGCTACAGTCCATGGGGTCGCAGAGAGTCAAATAGGACTGAGCCACCTTCATTTTGACACCTGTCTTCCTTCTGATGTCACCTGCCCAGCTCAGGGCCCGGTTATCACTCAGCTGGGACTCACCTTCCCATCCTCGTCTTCTCACACTACCACCTACCTGACACTCAGCTTGACCAGAATTGTCCTGACACTGATTATATCGCATTTCCTGCTCAGGACTGGAGGTCACCCATCCCCTACAAGCGCTAACTTCGTGGCCTGACAGTCAAGTCCCCCCAGCCCCGTGCCAGCCTTATCTGTCCCCTCCTCCACACGTGCTGTGTGCGTCAGCCAAACTGGACTCCTTGTTCTGATGTGTCCTGGTCTGGCACCTCTGTGCCTGCTTGCACTTCCGCCTCAAAAAACCCCCTTCAATCTGAGTATGAGAAACACCACACATTTTCTAAGAATAAGCTCAAGTTTGACTCCCTACATGAAGCTTTCCTGAATTCCTCATCATTCAGAAATGGTTCCTTACTTCTCTGGACTCGCAGCCTTTCATATCTCAGAGCCCTTAGAAGGCCCTCTGGCGTGTGCCCTTGGGAGCCGGGCTGGTGTGCATTCATCCGGGCCCCCCAGTGTCTTACCTGCGGCAGCTGCCCAACAAATATTGGAGGTGATAAACCCACTCAGTGTGTTTAAGATTTTTTTATGAGTTTTCCCACTTAGTACAATTATTCCTTTATTTTAATTCTGAGTGGAAATTCCTAACAGAAAAAAGAAGTAGCCTAAAAGAAAATAGCAGTAAATTTTTAAAAGCTGTTTAGTCAGTGAACTTTTAAAGTGTCAGTTTGGGGCTGTTTGGTTTGAATCTAATCACAAGGCATGTCAATTATCAGGAACACTTTTCTTAAAATTATTTTTTTTTCATTACACAATTAATATAAATGCAGTGCCCCAATCTAGGAAGAAAAACTGAACGAAAAAAAATCTCCCAAAGTCCTGTCATCTTAGACTGCTATTAACATTTTTTTATTCTTCTGTCTCCTGCAATTTTTGTATTACTCTAAAAATAGTATGTTATTTCTGTTAAGAACTGAAATTTAACTTCATGTGTGTTTATAATTGGGCTATACAATCTGAATTTGGACTTTTAGGAAGGAAAAAAAAGTACAAATGTCACTCTTCAGTTTCACCAATTGTTCGAACCATTAAAATAAGCAGAGTGACTTTTAGAATCTTAACCACTCTTTCAAGAAAGGTGGCTAATGGGTGCGCCAGTCATCTGTTCAGGGGATGGGGAAAGCAATTAGCCTGACTGATGACTTACTACTGGTTGTGAGAGTTAAACATTTTTTACACTTCTGCATTGCTATAGCTTTTTCATATCAAGCATATATTACTTTTATAATTAAAAATAAAAATTACTTCTTGCAAATGGAAAATCCTTACTATTAGCATTCAGCATATTTAAGAGAAACAAAACTTCCCACACAAGAAGTGAGATAACCTGCAACTCCAGAAAAGCCTAGAAGGAAATGCAGTCCGAATCCATCATCCACTCTCAGTGGCTATGATGGTTCACCCGACTCCATCCTCATCAGATATTCTGCCTCTTTGGCCCTGAGGGCTTCTGCTGGCTCACCTGGCAAAGCACAAGGGCTACCAGGACCAGCTGGCTGAGCTGGCATCCTGTCAGGTAAGTGCCGGGAGCTCCAAGTGCAGAGGTGGGTTCCGGGGATAGCATCGGTCTCTCTGGGCCAGTCTGCTCACATTAGAGTTGTCACTGCTAATGGGTGATGGGGATGTGCTCTTCTTATACTGGCAGAATGTCCCTGACTGATACAATAAGCCTTGCTAATAGCAGCAGACAGTTGCTACCTTTGAGGGCAAGGTACCTGCAAGGTGGATGGCTGGAACTGGGATGCAGAATGCCCTGAATCCAATTCCTGAACTCCCGCCATGATGCCAAGTGATGGGTCACTGCTTTAAGTTGAGATTTGGCAGAGGAGAGGGTGTGGGCAAATCAGGGTAATGACAACCAAGGCTGAGAGAGCTAGGGCTCTTTATGCACCTCAGGTATCATCCTTCGAGGCTGGAGAAGGGAACGGCTTGCTTAGTTTGGGCTGAATTTCTATTTTAGAAAGCTGTCTTAATGTCTCAAAGGGATTCATAAAAACTAAGTTTTTGTTTTGCTACCATGGACTTATTGGGGAATTCTGTTTCTAAAGGTTTGATCTTCTTCAGTCTGCTCCTTTGTTTGGAAAATGGATGAAGTGGGCATTAAGGTCCCCTTTGGCTCTAATATACTATGATAACATAAAGTACAGTGAAACATCAATATCTGAGTGAATCAGTTGTTTAGATTTTCCTGTTAATTATAGATTTAGAAGAAAGTTTAAATTCACATGTATGTGTTTATTATTAAAAATAACAATAGTATATCACACTTCTACAGAAGTGAGGCACTTAACTCTATGAGATTAACTACCTAGAACTGAAAATGTGTGTAAGCGTGCTCTTCCAGTCCTCACAGCACCCTACAAGCAGAACAGGTATAATCATCTGTGTGTTACTTTGAGGGCCCACACTTCAACACAGTGAAATGGCCTACAAAAGACCACAGCTCCTAAGCAGCAGACTGGAGGCTGGACCTCAACCCATGGGTCCCAGCCAGATGTGGAACCAAACAGCTGCACCTCCTTCCGTGGCTCTCTTCTGACCCACCTCTTCACCACTGCCTGACCTCTGTATCATGGCCTGAGTGTCTGCTGACACTTGGGTCCATGTTCGCTACTTCCCACCCAGGAGCTCTGGTGCTGAGAGGAAGCAAGGTTGGCCATTAATAGTTTCGTATGGCTGCTGTAACAAATTCCACAAACTTGGTAGCTAAAAACAGCACAGATGTATTAACTCACAGTTCTGCAGGTCAGAAGTCTGAAAATGCCATCTCAAAGTGTTGGCAGGGCTGTCTTCTTTTCCAGAGGCTCCAGGAGAGAATCTGGTTTTTTGTTTTTGTTTTTTTGCTTTTTCCAGTTTCTGGAGGCTGCCCACATTCTGGCTGCTTCTTCAAGGCCAGCAAGG